ACTTCAGCCCCTCAAAAAGTTGAAATGTTTAAACTCTTTGGGGAAAACAGTTCTAAACATCCCCTTTGTGTATGCTCCTTTAATTTGATTTGTAATCGATAAACTCGTTTCTTCGAAGACGAATGTTCTTTTAACTTTTTGATACTTTTTTATAGTCTCTCCAAGTTATTTACTCTACATTTGATTCGAAATATATTATTAAATTTCAATTCAATTCAAATTACAAATTTAATTAAAAATAACAATGATCAAGGACGAGGCTTGTAGTTAAAAAAAAATTGTTTTTCTACAATTGTAGGTACGTATTTTAATTTTAAATTTAAGGGGCCTTACTTCTTATAAACTGAAGTAGTATTTACCTATTATAAAAAATGTACCTATAGATAACTTTTAAATATAAATTGTGCTGATAGTTAATTATACGAGATTAATTATAATTATCATTGATTATTACGTCAATTTTATCAGTTCAAGTATCGGGTGTAATTAGTGTTTACAATTTATGTTTATCTTTTACAGATGTTATTAATTGTCAAAAATAAATTTTTATTTGGTAAAATTGTATTTTTGGTATTTTATCAAATGAAAGTCTAGTATGTTAATGTTAAAAATTAAAATATTTAGCCTTTATTTGGTTCTATTTAAACAATGCTGTTCTACGATTTGTAGAATTTATAGTTCAGCCGTCTTTATTTTAATGATGTAGTAAAATTAAGATAATTTGTACACATTCACGTTTTTCTAGGGAATTATTAAATGTATTTGGCATAGTAGCAAAACAAAACATTAGCAAATTTTTCTTTTTAATAAAAACAAAATTAACTTACTAGGTTTAGAGCTCCATCTTTTTCTGAATCCATTGAATCGGCATCATTATTATCAACGTGAGGTTCGCTGCAAATGCTCCGGTCTTCACTGCTAACGTTTCCGTTTGCGTCTCCATCTGAAAATCGAATCAATGAGGTAAAGAAAACTCTTCATTAACTAACAAATCGGATTTTCTAGGCTTTACCTCTTTGATAGATAATATTTTTTAATACAAAATGCTTGTTTTTCCTGTTGTCTATTGTGCCGAAACAATATTGTCAAACAGAGCTGGTCAAAAAAGCGCGAAGCTATAAGCTCAAAGCTCTTACTTAAAGTGCTTTAGCCCCTGATGACCCAATTCTAAGAGCTGAAAGAACTGGAAGTACATTTTCAAGCACAAAATTCTAAAGCTTTGTCCAGCTTTGTTGTCAAATATTTTAATTAAATATCCTGAACGTATTAAGTGTTTTATCTCATATTTATTTCAAATAAATGATACCTCTGAATAGAGTGTAATTTATAAGATTTAATTTAAAGTTAATAGATTCGTCGGGGATCTTAAGGACAAAAGAAAAACCGAGCTATCCAACGACTGTTGTGTTTGTGAAATTTCGTTTGCCGGTCGACGTGCTAACATGATTGGTAGAGGGTTAGAAGGGGTGCTTTAACGCGACCTAACGGATTAGGGGTTAGCTCGCGATAACAACAATGTCTGACACCACCATTGTTGTTTTCGGCATTATCAATCTTGTTTCTGACGCAGCGGTTTTGAATCCAATAGAATTCGGCACGAGCGACTTTTTGATCGGGAAAACAAAAGAATGAAAGAAAAGCGACAACATCAATAGGGTACCGACGGCAACACTTGTTTTTTAAAAGACGCTCTCATACCATTCAATTCCTAATCAAAAATTAAAATCATTAGCTAATTAAAGTGCATCTGGAGGATGAGAAACTTGTTTATTAATTACGGTCCACCGTATAGTGCCAGTCTTTTATAAAATTATTATTAACACGTTTGAAATTTTCTAATTGGCTCCATTTTCATGTAACTTGCAACTATTTTATCTGCGAAAACTCAGGGAAATCGGACTGGAAAACACGTAACGATGTGTTAAAAATAGTGTCATTTACAATTAATCTGAAAATGTATGTGAAACCATATTAATTGTAAGTAAAGACATATACTCTTCTCATGTTGAAAACTCTAGCAAAGAAAAATACCTTCAATTTGGTAATATATTAATTAACGCATTAAGGAAAACCAAATTAAAGAACACCAATTATAAATCACTATACATAAAATAATAAGAAATCGGAGCCAAACAGGGGCAAAAAAATTTATTGTAGTAAAACCAACACCGACGTTTCGCCTCTTATTGGAGGTTGCAATACGTGGTGACGATGACATATATTTGTATGTACGTTCTTTTAGATGGTTTGGTTTATTAAGATTAAGAAGTAATTTTTAATGTAAGGGCGAAAATGAAGGAGAGAGAAAGAGAGAGAGAGAGAGACAGAAAGATATTCCACACGGTTATGTGAACACCCCTATCAATCACGAAAAGCCATATTTCAAAGGCATTCGATCAAAATGTACATTATAAGGTCATCGCGAGGGTGCATATTTGTCCAAAAGGGGTGTTAACTGTAGTTAAAGGAGATATTATGTGCCCTTAATCCGAAAAATATACTTTAATCGATTATGATTGCTCCATATGGTATCAAAAAAATGGTCGAATTGATGTGACATAAAGTGTTATATCTACGCTTTTTTTATAAGCGGGGGTTTTCAGATAAATTTTAATCAAATATCAGAAATAATAGTTCTTAAATTTTGTCAACAGAAAAAAAAATGTCTATACAATAATGATGAACATTAATCAACGAATATTTTTGAAATAGCATCTCAAGATGCCTTCAAGATAAATAAAATATGAAATGATAAGATGTTTTAACTCAATACTCAAACATTAAAATTAGAAATTAATAAATAAAACTTATGGTAAACCAAAAAGTTATAAAAATCTGACAGAAATAGAGAGATTGTGTTACTATCTTTTCTACTTTCTCCAATTTTTCACCCGTACAGGTCAAATAATCTTTTCAAATTTAAATGGAATCATCTTGGAGATATAACCCATCCATCAGAAAAAGAATCATTAAAATCGGCTGAAAAATAGGATGCTAAAAAGGGAAAAGCAGCTCTATTATCATAATTTTAAGTAAATAATTTTTATCTTGACACAAACGAATGAAAATTTTAATTAAGATAATGATAAAAAGCACAAAAATCAATTTATTCTGAACATTAAGATAATGTTCAAATTATAAACATCCTTGAAAAAATTCCACCAAAATACTTGAGGTTAATAATTGTAAAAGTTGATTGTCAGTATTTTATAGTGTTAAGCACTTCAAGTAATAAAAGTGAGATTTCTAAACATTTTAATAACAGGATAGCTATTTTCAATTACAAAACTTCAGAAATCTGAATGCTATAAAAAAAAAGATCAAATAGACTGTTGCTGATAAGCTTAGATATTGTGCAGTATTAATCACTATCTACTGCAATCCGCAACCCTATAATTTATTAGAAAATTTGCAAAGAAGCTGTAAAATCCCGAGATAAAAATGTTCAGCCTCTCTCTCGTCGCTCATAGAGAGATCTTTGTTTCGTATCCAGTCCCTGAACGAGAGACTCGAATCTCTCAATTTTTCAGCTTTATTCATTCAGTCTCTCTGTGAGAGACTCGAATCTCTGAATTAACAATTTTATCGTTTGAGTCTCTCATACAGAGACTGTGAGAGATCCATAAATACACCTAGGCAATAACTGAGAGACTGTGAAAGACTGTGAGAGACGCTCTCAGAGACGCTGAAAGACTCTGAGAAACTAGAAAGAATCTGAATTGTAACTCGATTAATATTTTGGGATGGGACAGTTAAGGGTCAAACAAGGGTTAGCCGACTACCACCGCCATTGTTAAAGACTGCTAAAGTATTTTATTGTCATGTAAAGTAATTCTAATTGTTATAGAACACAAGAGTAAAAAATTTTCTTTTCATTTGCGCGTTCTCTGGCGTGTCATTCGGTTGGACAGTCAAGGAAGTGGAAGTGAAGTTCCCGAAGCTATTTTTCCGGTCGGTAAACTCAACTGAAATGACCGCTGCATCCCTAAATATCAAAATTCAACCGGTGTGAAATTTCTTATAGCTGTTTTGTGCCGGCCCTTCAGGCGTTCGCCTTCTTCTACACGTCCTTATCTGACCGTTCTGTTCCTTATCGGTTTGTATGCAGGACTTAACATCTACCCGTTGATGTGTTGGAAAATTAGACTTTTCAGTTCCTCGTCTCACAATTCATGTACATAGATATACGGAAAAAAAAGTTTATGGTCGATGCTACGCGTCCACCAACATGATGGGTGGGGGGAAACACACGAGTATAATCCGTTTTTCCGAATTTTTCTTATTAGATTACTATACTTTAATTAAAACATTAATAAACCAAGTATTGTGTTAAGTTTTGAAAAGTGGGATTTTTTGAGTGAGTTAGTTAGAATATTGCAAATTCATTGAGAATGTAATTTAGTTCTTTGAGCATAAAATTCAATGAAATAGAAAAGTAGACTGTGGTGATGGAAATAATAAACAAGAAATTCCCAAATTCGTCATAACAATTTTAAAAAACGCGGACACGTGTTTCACTTATTTAAATTTTTTAAGATTGTTGTGGTGAATTTGAAGTAACATCCAATATTGAATATTAATTATAATATAAAAAATCTTATGAACGTACTTCATCCAGGAGCGGGTCCAGAATTTCGAGACCATAGCACTGATATAAAATATATTATCAAATGGGCATGATTTTCGGCAATCTTCCAAAGATTTTTGATCTTTTATTAATTTTGAAACCATAATTTTAAACAAGACGTGCGTGCCTCTAGTAAAAAGATCGAAGAAGCATTAACTAAATTACAAAATTTTAATTTTAATTCGAAAATAGCAATTAATTTGAGTAAATTTTCACATAGTTTAAATAGCAATAGATAGACGTGATATGAACCCAGTATTGGAAGGGTAATAAATTTTTTGTGGCATGAGGGTAGGCATATTATAATAGAAAAAGCAAGAAAAAAGAAATACGGCACGAGCCATGGGATAAGAAGATGGGGTTGGTAGACACAGACCCTTTCGGAAGGAAATGGTTATTCATGTCGACCCGTATTTAATGCCTTCCTTTTTTAATCAAAAGGTATTAAAATGTTTTACTTGTCAGTAATTGATGCCACGCGACTTAACCCTTTCGCTCATGTTTTAGGTTCCTTTATTGAAAAGAGTTAAACAATCCTCAAGGCTCTTATTTTGAAGGTACTTTGTATTTCCTTAGGGGACAAAACCCCTGTTTGCTAAAGAATTCAAGAAGGGTTGTTTCATAACCAGATTATTGCCGATAGATAGACTTTCGAATAAGAAAATTATTAAAATATGAAAATATAGCAAAAATTTTTAGTGTTTTATTAATTTATTATTTGATGATGTTGTAAAATAAAAGTAGGTTAGCATTCCAGTACTATTATCTGGTGGAATACATATATACTGCTTTCAGGATTAGAATAATAATGTGGAACAAATTATATATGCATGAAATAAATTCCTCAAATAATCGCAAGGTGATGACACTATCAATGACTACATTCAAAATTAATTTGTATATCTACAATACATAAATTTAGCACTTCAAACAAACTGTTTGGAACGTTTTAATAACTGGAATTTACTCATACAAGTTTGTTGTTCACTAAAATTAGTTCATTTTTATTCAACTTTAAGTACATATGTCACACGTTACTTAAAAATAAAGGGGTGAGCACGCATGTACTGATTTTTGCAGAGTGCATGACTTGATCCCTTTATTAGACCAATTTCTGGTTGAAATTTTGCGTGGTCAAATTTGAAAATTGGTTAAAAAAGAGTCGAAATTATGAATTATTTAATACCGCAAAAACATATTTTTTCAAAACACATAACACTAACGACACTATCGCATTTTTATGTTCTAAAAATCAAAATTGGCTTGAATTTGATCACAGATCTTGGACATTTGATTATCTATAAAATTGCAGCGGTAAATTGCAGGAGACATATCAACAACAAGTGTTGATGTCCAATATGAATAAGATATTAGATGAATTTGCAGTACTACGTTGTAATAGAGACAAACACTTTCTTGCAAAAATAGTAACTACAACAAACAAATTTTTCTGTCCTTACATTTGCTACTACTTTTGTAATGAAAATTTCTACAGTTATAGAAATTTTATACAGTTTCTTTTGAGTGTAACATCGACTTCATTATGTGGTGTTGTTTAATTAAATCAGTTATTGCTTTTAATAGAAAAAAGGATTTTCTTACTATCCCGTAACACATGCATATGTATATTATAAAACCAGAAACATTTAAACCAAGAGTCAAGATTACCTATTGTACCTGTACCTTCTTTGGAACTAAGGAAAACTTCAGAAGGAAGGGTAGAGGGAAAAAAGACAAAAAAAATATTCAACAGGTGGTAATTTTTACGTGATGTTTTAACTTACCATCGTTAGAAGGTGGCGTAGAAGGGGCGTTTTCAAGTTTACAACTGTTGAGTATATTTTGATCAGCTGAAAAAGAATGAAAAACAATTTTACAAACATTTTTCATGTATAACAAGTACATAGGTCGTTAAGTAAATTGTAATCATTTTTAAGAAGTAGCATATAAATGTACCTTTTTTTCTATTAAATGCCTATAAAATTAACCTAATCTAGGGTAAAACGTACATATTTTAATAGGATATTACAGTTATCCATCCAAACTAGAAATGGGACCAGTTTTAAAATTGGTACCCGGCAGATCTGACACGGGTAACGGATAAGCCCTCGGAAACTCGAGTAATTCAACCAGAGCAACAAAAGAAGCAAAATCAGCAGTATCAGCAGAGTACAGTACAACAAAGCCATACATTTTTAATTATTAACAATTCAAAACAATAATAAATCAAATTGAAATCGAAGACTAAATTCTAATGACATCAGAATGGTCAAATGAATTAGCATTAACATATCACAATAAAAAAATAACTTTTTGTTAAATTTTTAAAGAAATGATTGAAAGAAAGTATTTTAAAGCTACACTGCACACAAAATTTTTGAATAATGTATAAAATGCCTTTACGTTAAAATTGAAGTAGGTACTATTTTCAATTCAGTTATATTTGTTCAAAAGATATCGTGTATAATATTCTGTTTTTTAAAATTCCACCATAGTAGAGCCATTAATTGTAATTAAAATTTAAAAAATAATATTCATAAACAAATTGTATTATGAAATTTATAATTTAATAAGTGTATAAAATTTTAAACACAGTATTTACTTAAATTTTCATTATTATTATTCAAGGTGTTTTATAATGAAAAAAGTATATGGATTTTAATGTACGTATTTTCAAATTACTTCGAGCATTAAAAGCTAAAGGCAATTTTTTACAATGATGTATCCGCTATTAAATACCCTGTTATCTGGTACCCGGTTATCCGGTACCCAATAAAACCACCGTCGATACATCATTAATCTAAACTGAATAAGGTTTTATTATTTTAAAGTTTCACAAACCAATTTGTTGCCGTTTTAGACGTA